CATTATGCTCATAATGAGCTCATTTAAGAGTCCGATATGAGGGTGTTTCCCTTTCTCCGAAGGTCGACTTATATGAGCTTAAATTCATACAACAAATGAGCCTCAATATGAGACATATTGGACTCTTATTGGCCTAATATACGGCTCATTTTGGACTTTTTTTAAAACAATTATTGGCCTCATATATGAATCATTTCAGACTCTTTTCGAGCCTCTAATCAGCCTCATAAATTACTAAATTCGGACTCTTATTTTAGGTTGTTCCTTGAGTCTTATTGAACGCACTTTATTTGCAAAAGCATTCAGCGAAAATTCCTTTCAAATAACATGCATACATACTTACGTGCATATACACATTCCAACATGCAGGCAATAGCAGCAGCTACAGCTAAATTTTGTTCATTTATTGTTTTCTAATTATTTTCAATTTCTGTATAAACAAGTTTGGATATAAATTACAAATCTTTATTGTTTTTATAATGGCACAAGGTGCTGGCTCATAACTTGGATCATATATGAGTCCTAAAAGATTCATATAAGAGTAAAAAAATTTTGGTTTTTGAAACTCATATTTCTTACCTACCTAGGACTCCCTTCGGACTCATATATTCTGAACGCTCAGAATATCTTTGCGGGGGTGGTGTCAGGTATGCATGTAAATTATAACTCCATTTCACTTTTTCAGAAAAAGGCACTAGCATTTTCTAAGAAATATTTAAAACTTCGGATAGTCTTTTATTGGTAGGGATGTTCCGATACAAGTAAATACGAGTATGTACTCGTTACTTTTGTTTCGATACCAAATACTTTTTTTACTCGAATCGTTGTTTCGATACCTACTTGGTATCGAAAGAAAAGTACTTGTATCGAATCGATTTGAGCAAGTGCCATATCTTGCCGGCTATATTTTTTCTATGGAAAATAATTGCTTCGATTTTATGAAAAATAATTGCTGTACGCAATGGAACCGCGAAAACGTGTGGCTAATGAACAAATATATCGCCGTTTAAAGTACAAAACCGCGTATCGTCATTCTGCAAAACCGCGTAACTAACATTGGCTGCCAAAAATTGGATTTGTCTCAATCTGTACCCTACAAGAACACTACGCGTTATATAACGAATCATGTAACGCAGAGTTGTAACGTAAATGCATGTTATACTCCCATAGAATGTTTACGTTAATTTCCTAAGGGCGACATGAAAAATCTAACAGGATATCGTGTTATAGATATGTTATGTGTAACATATGTTGGGGAAAATTTTAGTAGACGGACGGCAAATTCTAGAAAAAGGGGGGATGAGGGGGGGTAGAATAGGACCCCCTGATTTCAAAACTACCCCCCTTTTTTCTAGCAACCCTATAGTTCTTATATAATTTGTTGTTAAAGTTTTCTTATAAACGATGAATAAGATAGCAAAATAACATACAACTTAGTGCTACCAGACTGGAATTTTGAATAATAAAAGCGGATTTTTAATTCGGATTTTTTACTTAGTAGAATTATTATTTCTGTGTTGCCGAAGAAGGGGGGGCTGAACACATTTTGCAGAGACAACCTTTCTGCGTAGGCGGCCTTCGGCCGCAATTAGGGATTATAACCCTCAGGCAGTAGAATTCTCCTTTCTGTTTTGCGAAGAAAAGGAGCTGAACACCTTTTGCAGAGAACACCTTTCTACGTAGGCGGCCTTCGGCCGCACTTAGGGATTATAACCATCAGGCAGTAGAATTCTCCTTTCTGTTTTGCGAAGAAAAGAAGCGGAACACCTTTCTGCGTAGGCGGCCTTCGGCCGCACTTAGGGATTATAACCCTCAGGCAGTAGAATTCTCCTTTCTGTTTTGCGAAGAAAAGGAGCTGAACACCTTTTGCAGAGAACACCTTTCTGCGTAGGCGGCCTTCGGCCGCACTTAGGGATTATAACCCTCAGGCAATAGAATTCTCCTTTCTGTTTTGCGAAGAAAAGGAGCTGAACACCTTTTGCAGAGAACACCTTTCTGCGTAGGCGGCCTTCGGCCGCACTTAGAGATTATAACCATCAGGCAGTAGAATTCTCCTTTCTGTTTTGCGAAGAAAAGGAGCTGAACATTTTCTTTTGTATTGATTTCCCCTGTATTCCTTTTTAATCATTGCCTTCTTTGTATGTATTGTTTTGTACAATATGGCAACACATGTTATGTGTCAGTTTGCAACCATGTGTTATTGTAAATATCCGAGAAATTCAATGTAATTTACAAGTCGATAAAAGTTTAATTAAAGTGATTTATATACAAGATAAAATAAATGAAAAGTGTGTAAAGTATTAAGTACGGTGTTATGTGCATTTATATATATAAAAGTATGCACAAATGCTTTTTTGTTAAGGAAACCAAGTGGAACGACTTAAGAAATTTTAACAACAAATAACTTATAAACAATGATATTACTTATATTTTTAGTTATACATGTTTTAGAGGATACCTCCCTTAACATCCTGACCAAGTTTCATTTGTTAATTCCACCTGGTTTTCTTAAAACACAAGCTGCGGCTGACTACTAAAGCCCACCCCATATGTTTCCTGTACGTGTGTAAATTTTGACATGTGGTTTTGAGGGTATTGGTGAAATATTTAAATGTATTGGAGACTGCGTTAGTCGTGTCTGGTAGGGTATCCATTCGTCCTGAAATATACTAGCCAGAAATGCGATAGCTTTATAAAAATAGAGCCATTTTGAAATATGAGTGCTTTTACTCTAGAAAATAATTTCTACAACTTCTCATACGTGGTTTTGCATTTTGCTGATACGCGGTTTTGCACTTTAACCGACGATATATATCTATACCTCTATTGCAAATATATTGAAAATATTTGAGATAGGGCGTTTTGAATCGGCAGCTGAGATAAGGCATTTTTGAACCGAATTCTGAAATAGGATGTTCTTGAAAAGTTTTCTGAAATAGGACGTTTCTCAATCAAATTCCGAATAAGGGCGCTTCTGAAAAGTTTTCTGAGACAGGGCGTTTTCGAATTGGCTGCCGAGATAGGTCGCTCTTCCCCTCAGGTGTCGCATAAGGTACATCACAGATAATGCCAAGGCGCATCAATTACAGGTGATATCGATAGAAGCTATGCTTCTTCTTATGAGCACGCTTGTGTCAAATTATCGTCTGTTTTGCTTTGTTTACATATTCGCGTATACATACACATATACGTAAATATATACCCTGCAAACAAATGCTACCGAAATCTTTAAGAGTATCGGAAATTTGTTAAGATTCTTTTAGGAATCTTTAAAGAAAAACATATGAAGCGGTTTACAAGAACTAGTAAAGAAATTTCTGTACGATTTCTTAGAGAAAATTCTTAAAAAAAATTGTGAAATCTTTCAGAGTTCTATGAAATCCTGGTATGCAGGGTATACATATACATACGAATACGAATACATAAAGAAGATGTTGAAGACACAAGGAGTTCATACCAACGGTAAATGTTGTTTTTGTACGATTGCTACAACCTGTAGTTATTGAATCATGGATAATGCCTGAAAATTAATTTCAGTTTGTTGCATATAAAAGGATGAAAAATTATCGATATAAGTAGGTATCGATACATTCGGCTTACTCATATAAGTAGTAAGGCCCTGTCTCCACAGGAAAACACTGATGTCGTGAAAACTATGTCACAAAATATATTTCCAATGGAGACCGCCTATTTCTCATGTGCTGCAATATATGTCAGCGCTTATTGCTTGACATCTATTGCAGGCAATTCGATAGTTTGACAGCCATATTTTCATTTGAAAGAAAGCGTGCTGGTGGTAACATCGATGAAATTTTTATATTAAATCAAAATAAAAGTCTGTTCCTTATTGGATTATTTATTATTACGTTTTAGGAAATTATTCAGCAAGTTTTTTAAAGATTTAAATGTTTTTAAACACCGAAATTGAGAGAATGTTGTCTGGTGGCGTCATGCGGCAAATGCTTATTTCAAGACATCAAAGTGCCCACACACAAAAACTTGCAATCACATTGCTCGTCAAAATGACAGTTGGTAGGCCATCGATGTTTGCCTGTGGAGTTCTGCGGTAACGAAATAGCGATTTGAGTAAACCCAGTTGAGTAGGTATCGATACTTTCATGGTATCGGAACGTCCCTAATTATTGGACCTTTTATTTCAAACAGGTTTTAGATTGTTATAACAAGAATGCACGCCTTTATTTTTATATTAATAATTTAATTTATCAACCAAACCAAAAATATCAAAAATGGAGTTGTCAATTATGTTCCCGACACCACCGACATGCACATGTATATTTGTATGTACACCTGTGGGTATGTTAATAAACGCATACACATTATTTCTTTGTATTTTAATAGTTGTTGGTTGAAATAGTGGCCCATAAAGGGCAACAATTTGTGATTTTTTTTTGAAATTTGACACAAAGTGCATCTGTATATGTATGTATGTTTACGTAGGTACGCATATAAAGAAATATAGAAATATCAAAAATCCATTAATTTTGCAGTGCGAATATCCGGTTAATATCCATTCATTTGGTTATCCGGATATTCTAGGCAATATTTGAACAGATTCGTAAAATCGTTCTAAAAATTACTCGGTAGTAGTGCACTTTGGCGAAGATAGGTCAAAATGGACGGAAAAAGTTCGAGCGTGTATCAATCGACGCGTCTTAAGGCCAATAATAACAATCCGAGACCGGAAATTAACATTTTTAATTAATTAATGAGTTATTTGCAAAAAACACTTGCACTTTCCGCACTATGTTTTGATGAATTTCACGCAAATGAATGGAATAAATGAACTTAATTGAACGCGTATTTATTAGTTTTTATACATTTGTGATGTTTTAAGTGTACGCTTTCGCGAAATTCTGTATTTAATAGCGATATTCCGATGGTGAAAATCCGCACAACATGTTGTGTAGTTAATATTAAAAATAAAATGGAACTAAATTGCTGCTGCTACTGTATTAAAAAAGTTTTTGTACGTCCAACTTATTTATGCGTAGGCGGCCTTCGGTCGCGCTTAGGGATTATAACCCTCACAACGTAGAATTCTCCTTTCTGGCAAATTAAATATCCTAAAACATAATCTATGCAATTGCTTTTGCAATATTATATACAAAAAATTTAGTTATGCTAGTGCTAGTTTCTGTTCTGTTATTGCTGTCGGGAAATAAAACAATCGCACTGTGGCCACGGCCAGCCTTAAACATTATACTTCCTAAGCTTTCGCAATATTCTGAATTGTGCTGAATTAAAGAATGGAGCTGAGTTAATGATGCATTTAATACATGCAAACGGTATGAGAGATGCTAAACGGTGTTGAGATGCTAATTTGTGATGATATAAAAAAGTATACTTACATATGTATGTACGAAATATGCATACTTACAACATATGCGTATAAATAATTTACCTACATAATTAAGGAGGTGTGTGCGTACACACATACATATGTACATGCGCGCTTTCATTCATGCATACACATATGCACATATGTATGCATAAATCCACGCATATGCATTTTTTGCGCGTTTATGTTGATTGTGATAGAATCATCAAATAATTAATGAGCTGAGAAAAAGCTTTATCGTCGCACCAACATATTGACGTAATAGTAAGCGTTGTGATACTGCGTTAAAATATTCAAAGAAGTTTAAAACAAGTAAAAAAATTGCAAACAAAAATTTTACAAAAAATATATTAGTTCATTTTCGTTTTATCGGGTGCGATTTGTAAATGGAGAGAAGTGATCCGCATTTGCTAAGTCAACTATTATACCAATGCAACTGTAGACAAAAGAAACTAAAACGTGCAAGATTAAAAAAAAGAACTAACAGCTTTCATAATACTAACAATCCTTATAGCAATAAGTTTTCAAAAGATCAAAGATCTTCAGAACCATCTTCAGTATGGCGAGCAATAACTTTAACACCGCTGACGTCTACACAAGGCAGCGATGTTTAAAATATTGGCGCTTCCTCGCACTTTTTGCAGTGCTTTATAGCAACGCATCATTGCTAGTAGCAGCCTCCGCAGTGGACAATAGCGTTGACAGCACGACTGATGCTGTTGAGAGTGTTGGCTCAATTTCTGCTGGTGGAATTAATGATGTTATTCAGAAGTCCACGGAAATCTTACCACTCCCTCATGTATTGCGACATCAGAAACATCACTCACATCATCAGCCTTTGAAGCGAACACCGTTGCACCAACAACTAAGAGGCAATTACAGCAACTCCAACGCAAGCATCATAAACAGCAGCGGTAGTATCAGCAACAAGAACATTTATTTCCAAGCGCAATTTCAACCGTTAATGTCAGATCACTTCCGTCATCCAAAACACAGACATTCATGGGGACGTCACGTTCACCCAATTCTTCGCCATCAACAACATAATCTGCAGGAAACCAAAACGGCTACTGCAGCGGTGGCAACATCTCCACCAGTAATAGACGTAGCAACGAAGCCACCGGTCAATGGCAATAGTGGAACACAGCAGCATAAAAAAGCACAAAGTCACTTTGATCGCGGTGGCCTCTATCAATCGCCTTATCAGTGGAAAACAAGAGGCCCGAAAATACGAATTGGCAGGCGCTTCCAGATTAAAGCCCAACCGAATAGCAAGAGAACTTCACTGAAATTGAACGCCGGCTCAGATAATAAGACCATCGCACAAGAAGATGAAATGAATTACACAGATTCTAATAGCAAAGATTATAAAGTCAGTTTGAGTATAGCACCTGAAGGAAGCATGGATAGTCACACTGAATATGATGATTCGTATGGTGATCCAGAGGATGATAGCATAAGTGCAAATGAATTTCCCCAAGTCGGCGACATGCACGTAGGCAAACATCAACCCGCTGTCAAAAGCTATACTGAATTATTTAACGATTTACGTATGCCGCCAAAGAAGCGCGACTATCCCCACCCATATACTGCAGGTCGTCAGGTCGCACATATAGGTGGAGACGCCGATGAAAGCAAAACATACAATTACTTTTCATCTAACTCTGACGAGAATAGCGATGCAGACTTCTCTAATGAAAAGTGGCAGCGGATTGAACAAGAGCACCATCGTAAACAGCAAGAACATCAGCGACAGATGTTGGCATTGCGTGCGCATCCTTACAGTCATTACACAGAGGCAGCTGCAACAGCAGCAGTATCTGCAGTGACAGATGCAATAAAACCACATCGGAATAGTGATGATGTAAGTGCAGTTTTTTTTATATTCATATTTTGAACTATATTAGGCACGGTGCACATTAGAGCGATACGATATGAAAGCGAGGTTGGGCTTGCGCGCAGTGCACATTAGAGCGATACGACATGCGATACCATATGCGGAGCGATAGCTAAACAAACGTCTTTCATTAATTATTACTAACTAGAAAAAACTTAAAACTAAAACAACTTACTAAAAACTGCTGAATTAATTTGAAAAGTAGATATGTTCAATACCGAGCAATATATATATTTTTAACAAATTGGCTGAAACTAAATAAGTTATTCAAATTTTCATGAAAAGTTATTTTAGAATATTGCTGTTCACTACAAGAAGAAATCCATAATGCTGCACAAAAAAGTGGTTAACCTCAGAACTCAACAGGCAAACACCGATCGTCTACCAACTGTCATTTTGACAGATAGTTGCGAGCAATATGATTTCAAGCTTTTGTGTGTGGGCATTTGATGTATTCATATAAGCATTTGCTACATGACGCATTCAGATAACATTCTCCCTGAATATTTTTTAGAAAGAGAATTTAAATAATATTTTTATTCTATATTCTTAAATATCTTATGGCTTAAAGAAACATTTTTTTCTGGTATCCAAATTCAAAAAATAGTAAAACTTCTCAAAACTTTTTGTTTCATTTACACTTTCTCTCAAAAAAAAAGTTTAGTTGGATAAGTAACGGTTTTGATTCATAATATAGTATTTAAACACATATAAGATTCGCAAAATTCGCAATATTTAGAAAACTGTACACGTTTTAAATTTAAAATAAAAATTATATGGAGAACTCATCAAAATATTAAAAAATTAACTGTGCAGTGCACACCCAGTAGAAGTGAAGGCTGCAATTTAGTTTGGCATCCCCGGAGTTCTGCATTAAGGTAGCTATGGAACGGTAGAGGGAGTTCTCCTGATTGTAAATATATATACTTTTAGCCGCAGCAGGAATATACACCCCTATGCTGTAATCCGAAAGTTCGTAGTTACGAATTCGTAGCTCCGTTCCGAAAATTCGAAAATTGGTATGCTGTAATCCGATCGTAACTATCAACGGCGTTACCAACTAAAATAGTGAAATTCGAAGTTCTTAATCAGCTGCTTTGACAGAAACAAATCAAAATAAATAGAATCGCAAGTGAACAGTGAAATTAAAAAAAATTGTTTAATCGTATTTGAAAAAGCTTTTCCTTAATTAAGTAAAATAGAATGGATTCAGTGGCCGGTGCACTTTTGTCTCAGGAGGAAGAACATGCTGCAGTCAACTGTTGCATTAATATACAAAGGAGATTGCTACGAGACAGTTCTGATCCATTTACCTTAAATGATAAATATATGTTCCCTCTTTTTAAGGGCGTCCATACAACTAAATATTGTGTTGCTTTAAATCTTGCAACGCTTTCCCAAAATTCCACCACATCCTCTTTAACTATTACAAAGCCTCGGGCAATGTCCGGCCTTTCGCTCATGCTTTCCACCAGTTTTTCGTATTGCGAGCGATTTGTTGTGATTGTCGACATGATAATTTTGTAAACATTTAATAATACATTGGTTTTTATTCACACTTCAACTTAAATACATATTTTTGCGTTTCCACACTTAATTTTATTGATATTTTAAAAGAATTCGCTTCGCTCCGACACCAGTTGCTCTTCGTAGAAAATTCCCGACAAATAANAAGCAGAAATAACAATGGCTGACAGTAACACAAAATGTATGCTACCATACGTTAAAAAAAAATACACCACAAATATGTGCGTATAATTAGGGAGTATAAGTGTACAATACGTACATACATTGCTCTTATTAAAAATAATAATATTAGGATCGATAGGGGTCTTACTCCTAATCACAACGGTATAATTTTGGTTGGAAATAATATTTACTGGTGTTATTGTAGTTCAAAGTACACAAATGTAGAAAACGTACATCGATAATTTGATAAATAATGAAAATTTTTAATAAAAAATCGCGCGGTTTTTTATTAAAAATTTTCGCCTGCGGCCCTTTTTCCATAAAAATCAATACTTCGATAAATAATGAAAATTTTTAATAAAAAATCGCGCGATTTTTTATTACAAATTTTCGCCTGCGGCGCTTTTTCCATAAAAATCAATACTTCGATAAATAATGAAAATTTATAATGGAAGTGGGTATACGCTTCACATAATTTGGTTATACCTGCGATAGAAAGAGACAAGAAATCACACGTACAGGTAACATCCTCTTAGATTTTCCATATCGCCCTTAGGAAATTAACGTAAACATTCTATGGGAGTAAAACATGCATTTATGTTACACCTCTGCGTTACATGATTCGTTATATGACACGTAGTGTTCTTGTAGGGAAGTCAAATCAAAGTTATTTTGTTTTTGTTTTCTTCGCTATTCCCGTCGCTTTGCTGGCTGCTCATGTGTGTGTATGTTTGTACGTGTGTTAAGCTACAATGCAAAAACCCGACTACTACACGTGGTCATGTAAAGAGTAGCGCGGTTACCCACGAACGTGTACGTAGCGTAGCGTAGAAGTACGTAGAAACATACCAAGTTTGCTGTTGATAGAAAGAGAGAGATGCTACGTCTACGTCACGGTCATGCGGTGGTGAGTTTTTGTTAACACGCAGATGTCATAAGATAGATCGTGTCAACTGACACGTTCTCCGTTTTTACGTCCGTGGGTAACTGCGCTTTATGGTTCAAGGAGTACCCAAAATTAACCAAAATGCATATCACCATTTAAAGTACAAAACCGTGTATCAACAAAATTCAAAACCGCGTATTAAGATAATGCAAAACCGCATATGTGAGGTTGCATAAATTATTTTCTAGAGAGTAAAAACACTCATATTTCAAAATGGTTCTCTTATAAAGCAATCGCATTTCTAGCTAGTATGTATATTTTAGGACGAATAGATAAGGATTGAACCAAGAGCTTGTGTGAGCAAATAAAATTTTGGACAGCAAATGTCAGTTACGCGGTTTTGCAGAATGACGATACGAGGTTTTTTTACTTTAAACGACGATATGAAGAATGTGGTCCAATTAACATTGCCATGTCCTAGGTCAGAACCATATACTCCAGCTCTGCATTACATCAGAGTAGCACAAAACTTCTTCAAGGGATTACTCCATGGAGTATCTACCTCTCGGCAACACAGCGCAATAAACATCGTATAGGCATTACGATCAAGAATGATAGAATACAAGATTGCGCCGATCAGAGAGGATTTTTGAGAATAACTTTTGTGTGACGTCACACTGGTGCAATCGCGAGAGAGAAATGCCAAAAGGTGAGCAAGAATGGAAGAAGAAAAAAAAATGTTGCAAGGAAAACGTAAACAAGTTGCACAAGTGTGACGTCATGCAAACCACGATTCTGTCAAATTCGTTAAGAGAGGAAAAGCGGTCCGAGATCGGCGCAACCTTTGTATTCTCTCAATCGTGCATTACGATCATTAAAACTCGAGCAATGATCGGTTAACAATGAGCTGGTGTAGAAACTAGGGATGTTGCGAATGTGGAATTTTAGACATCCGCGGATGCGAGTGCGGGTGCGGATGTTTAAAAGCTAACATCCGCGGGCTGCAAATGTCGGATTTATCCTCCTGACTTTCATCTACACGATCTAGAATCATGGCAAGATCGTTGTTTAAACACCGTTGTGTTCCAATTTGGAGAACCAATTATTTTGGTTGTTTCAGAATTTGGAGAACCTGTTACGTCATCAGCGTTTTTCGATTTAAGTTTTTGTAATTCATTTTTAATCATGTCTTCTGTGACTGGTTTCCAGCAGAATTAGTTTAAAATCTTCTTATATTGTTAAAAAGGTACCTCGTTTTTTATAATAATTTGAATTATTGGCATCACGGACGATAAAGGTATCAGATTTGCTTAGATAGATAGATAGATAATTAATAGAGGCATGCACTGCGACCAGCAGGTCTATTGTGCCCTCAACCATTCACAGTACCTCATCTAATCCTAGAGAGCCCAAAAATTTGAGGAGATCCCCAGGGATTAGCGACTGTATTGCTTCGTTACTTGACCAGTAGTGGCCCAGGTGCCTCTCCCGTCTTCTCGCGACCGCCACGCATTCGCTAAGCAGGTGCACGGGAGTCTCCTCGGTCACGTCGCAGAAACGACATAGGTCGTTGGACCAAATCCCTAGCTTGTGCAGGTGGCCTCTCAGTCTGCAGTGACCCGTCAGAAAACCTGTTATGATCCTTAGTTTTCCTTTGGATAGATTAATAACTGCCCTGTACCTCGTGAGGTTGTAGCCTCCCAGTAGTTGTTTTGCTTGACGTAAACCTGTAGTGTTGCGCCAGTGTTGATTCCTTTGTGTGTTCCTTTCTTTCCTGAGCTCTTCCTTGATTGTACTGGGTCCAATCGCTAGGAAGGGCTCAGGCCCTATAGGCGACGAGGCGGCCGCCAGTCTAGCTAGTCGGTCCGCTTCTTCGTTGCCCGCAACTCCTATGTGTCCTGGTACCCAAGTTAATTGGATTTTGTTGTGCACTGCCAGGCTGTTGAGCCTATCTATGCACTCAAGAACCAAGGATGACTTGACCTCAAATGCTGAGAGGGCCTTGAGTGCCGCCTGGCTGTCGCTCAATATTAAGA